AAGCCTCCAAATCCCGGTACTCAAGACCTAATCGATGGAACTTCATCCTCCAGATTACTGAATTCAGAAGTTTTAATTGCATTTTAGGTGTGAAAGGTTTTTTCAAAGTAGAAGTAGCAGTGGTTCTTGCTAATTCTTGCTGACCCTCACTGGTTGGTGGATATTGTGGAAAAATCGACAGGAAGAAAGGCAGATAGAATGGGTTATGGAGAGATGGGAAGGGGGATAGTAGCCAATAAACAGAACTACATAGAAGCAGACAAATAAGGAAAGTCGAGCACGGACTGGAAGACTGACAGATGATTCAGTAGGCGCAGAGTACCGCATTTTAATTTCCGTGTGATTTTCTCTATGGTAACTCTCCACTGACCTTCAAAAGTTGGAAGCTGGGTCCAAATAGATGGACAGACATATATAGGTAGATGAATGGGAGTATGTGAATAGAGGAATGTATAAATGGGTAGTAGGATAGGTAGATAACCTACTGATAGGTAGTACATCAGCTCCAGACCAACTATTTGATGCAACAACATCAGGGTTGAATCCTTCCCCCGTTTCTCCACATAGAACTCCAGGTAGACAACAGGAAGTAACCGTTTTGGATTGAGAATGTCTGAAGGAGTTTGCTGAGTGGCGTATTTATCTATGGGGGGAAACCGACACCTGAGATAAGGAAATCAGTTCACTGCTCGAGTAGTGTATTTCTGGAGAAAAAAGTGGTATAGATGCAAAACATCAAACTGTTTTCACTCCTGTCATTAACATCAAAAAGTCAGCTTATGTTCGTAACCTACACAACATCCCTCCAAACAAGACCTGTTCCCCCAATAGCAGTTAATCGAGAGAAGACCTAGGCAGCGGTTGACATGAGCATAAAATCATATGGACCATCCACGTCATATTGTATGGGAAGGAAGCGAGACTAACCGAAACCAACACATAACTCATGATTTCATTTTACCATTTTTTTAACCTCAGTCCCCTTGGTAAAATCCTCACAGTTATCGCCTCGTGTCACACACATCCACCTCCTCATGAGTTCGCGTCGTCTCCGGCCAGTCACACACTTGACGCACCTCCCAATGCCCGACTTGATTACGGCCGTTATTCACACAGTGACAAAAAGTAGGTGAGCTATTGCACTACTAATAGTAGTCGGGGCGAACAGTTGTTGTGAGAAGATCGGTTCAGTCTCCCATATTCTGGTTGGGTGAAATCAAAGCCAAGTCAACAATAATGGCTAAAAAGCAGATTTGTGTAAGGAAGGACGAAAATTAACACGGATCTGAGACGTGGAATGAAATGCATTTCACCAAGACAAGAAGCGAAGACGGTTCTCTTGCCAACTACGTCGGCGTGAGTGCATTGTGTCTTGGTGAAATGCATTTTCTTCCATGTCAGGCCCGTGTAGGTGCGTGATGGAGAAGCGGAGACGGTTGTCCTCCCATCTACCTGATCATTTTCATTTATTTGAAATCTATACACTTCTCCTCTCTCCTTCCTCTTTTTACAATTCTTTTCACAATTTTTCCCCACTATGTGTATTCTTGTTTGCTTTTCCTTCTTTCATCTTTTTTCCCCCCTTCCATTCCCACACTTCTTTTTCCGCTCCCTTTTTTCCTGTTTTTTCTTCCATCCTTCCCTTTTGTTATATCCTTTTTTATTATTTTCTTTGTCGTTTTTCCTTTTTTTGACTCCTTTTTGTCCAGTCTTTTTATTTCCTTTTTCTCTACTCTCTTCATTCTTCTTAAATCTTCACTCCTTTTTCTTGAAACTAGTGTCTTTCCTTTTGTTTGGACTTTTTTCATTTATGTATTCTTGGCAGATACCTTGACGACATGTCGCTCAAATCTCTGCTTGATTTCCCTTTACTCATTTCATTTCCTTTACTGAGTGCCTAAATCTCTGCATAGCGATTAGTGTCCCTATTTTTAAAGTGTACTTTTTACTTAATTATTTGAGACCTTGCAACTCTCAAATTCATCCACGTCAGCTTAATACCCGCAAGGCAATGCAAAACTGTATGGACTAAATCACACTCTGAGTGGACTCTTAAGGTATTCTGCTTAGACAGCATAATCTGAGATTCAACACCCAGGTGTGAGAAGAGTCCTTAGCCTAGAGGGCTGCTGCCCACACAGTAACTCGTGTTGCACCGTTGACGATGGTCATAATAGCAAATATAAGAAAAAATTTTAATGTTTTTGGCCAAGTATGGATGTAATATCCGACAAGTTCCAGGGTGCGCGCTGGCACTGAATGAAGGCAATGCAAAACATTCATCATGGTAAATAAAAGCTAACCGCTGTCATATATCAGGCAGAGAATTATTATAACACACACAGCCAAACGCCCATAGAGAGGGAGACCTAGTGCAAATGTACGGCTGGATTACTCCACCTAGAATACACTGCAGGCTCTACCATCCGTGAAGCAAGATGCGTTCCGAGAGATAAAATCCACTTGTTAACTAGCTCCTGTTGGCAATACCCAACTTTGTACTCAATTAGTCACCATATATCACAAGATGTATCGGTGCAAAGGTACACAAAAATTTGTTTACGAGATTGAAGTTTATAGACCAACGGAAGGAGAGAGATCACTCAAACCATACCCATAAGATGGGGAACTTTGTAACCCATATTTGTTTGGATGTACTTCATAGGCAAGGAGAAGCTTTTACTGAGCAGGAGTCCCATAAAGTAAGGGTCGCCAGAAATCCACGAGGTAGATGGGGATCCCGAACGTGCGCATCCTGACTTTTGATCTTCAGCCTAGGTATTAACATTGAAGCTGGCTTTTCTTAGTCAGCCCGTTAATTCTAAGGGTTTGAAGGCCAAAAAGAAAGAGGTGACTTATAAAGTCTTTGCGTATGGTTTGCAATGATTTATTTGAATATTATGAAAATAAGTTTTTTGCAAAATGGTTAAAGAAAATTAAACAAAGGCACGCGAAAACAAAGATTCTGAGTCACCAATCTTCAGCTGAAGTTCAATGCACCGAATTGTTTTAATTTTTCGAGGACTAGTCGACTCGGCGACCCACGTCTTCAAAGATAGGTCCAGTTGTTTTTTTCGCTAGACTTACTCTGGTTGGTACATCCAAAATGACAGATGTTCGTGAAAAACATGTTCGACTACCTCGAACAATAGTCCCTATCAACTACAAGCTTGATCTTGTTCCTAACTTCACAAGTTTCACGTATGCCGGTCGTGTTTCTGTGGAGTTGCAGGTAGCTCTTCCCTTCTCCTTCACACTCTGTTTTCTAAGCGGCTTCTGTTTTAAATTATGATTTGCACTGCGATGCATAATTTAGGTTGTCCAAAATCTTACATCGAGAACCATTGAAATATCGTCTATAGGCGAGGTTTTTTGTGTTGTAGGTGGTCGAAGCAACCAAACAGATAATTTTCAATTCCAAAGGGCTTGAAATATCATTTGCGTCATACCAAGATAGTAAGTCAATCAGGCTTTTTAATGACACTAACCGAAACTTCTAGCTCAAGCTACGATTGCGTACGATGAAGAGCAGGAAATAGTTATATTTGTGTTTCCCACCTGCCTTCAGGTTGGTTGCGTAGCGATTTAGTTTAAGCACTTTGCCTTATTTAGCCCACAAGAGGACGCTTGAACTTGGAATTTAGGGGAAAATTTGCCACCGACATGTTAGGGCTATATTATAGCTCCTACATCGAGAAGAGTGGCAAGAAGTGCAACATTCTTGCCACTCAATTTGAGGTAAGTTCTGTGTTTCTTAAAAGTTGTTCCTGTGAGCAACCCCTATAATAGATGTCGGTGTTTTCTTTAGTCGGTTTTCGCCCGTCGAGCGTTTCCGTGCATGGATGAGCCGGATCGTAAAGCAACTTTTGACATCAGCATCGTTGCTCTTGACAACCAAGTTGCCCTCTCAAACATGGTAAGTTATTTGTGCTTCTTTTACGGAATTAGTCCGTGAGAACTTTTGGCTGATAGTTGAGGGAAAATATTAAAAAAGGTCTCGTTTTCGTTATAACGCGTCTTTTTAAGCTCCATTACGAGGCCAAAGTTGTATTTGAAAAGGATCCGTGTCAAAACATCGTGCAAATTATGCGTAAGCTTACACATTTATGGTTCCTAAATTGGTTATTCTGTGCGTGGGTCATCACGAGCTTGTCACGTAAATGACAGCTGTCCATTTTAAATGCGGGAAAATATTCATTGCCTGAAACTCACACTTCACTGTAATGTTAGGTCCTAACTCGTTCATTTCTAATTTCTTCCAGTTCCGTATAGAATCAAGTAGTGGGAACTTTTCCTGAATGTAGCTGTTCAAAGCTATCCTGTAAGAGGGCTCTAAAAGCTTCGAGCTTTGTTAGTTTTCGACATCTATGTATAATTTAAGAATTGGAGGAAAGAGCTGATATCATGAGATCCAAGCCCTGAAGTACCTAACCAGTGTGGATGACGTGACGCAGCAGATTAAAATGCTGGCTACGTCTTATTTCAAGTGTCGTCTTCAAGCCTTCCAGTTGGTGTTACATCTCTACAGCGACAGACATTGGACGCTTCAATGCCATCAGCGCCCCTGACAGCTAGAAGAATAGTGGTGCGATGCGATGATAAATTCTCATTATTAGGAAAAATGGTATATTTCATTTAGTAGACGCGATTGTACGCCTTCCATGCGAATTCCAGCATTTCTTCTAACGCACTTCGTTTCTGAAAGACGAGCTACTTCAATAAAATAGGGTTTTATCTAGGATCCGCAGAGCTAAGGATGGAATGACGTATTATCGTGTGCATCATGCATGGCACTCACATTTTCGTTTCATTAGTTCTTGTAATGAGATAATGTAAAGAGGATGAGAACTTGGGAGTCTAATCACTTCGCATAGTGGCTGATCTGAATGTTGCCTGTTATCTTGAGCATAACGATAATGGTCGTTTCAGCTTCATGCTGCTCTTATTCCCTTTTCAGATATAGTGTCCAATTGACCCGTCGGTTGCCAGAAGAGTTATTGAGAAAACGACTCTTATTAGCCCTTTATTTGCTTTTAGCATGTGCTAAGGGAATGAAATAGTTTGCATAGCAGGCTAGTAGGGGCTGCAGAGCTGCGCAGATGAATACATACTGGGGCCGTTTGCACTTTGTTTTTTTCTGATTTTCTGCAGCCTGAAGTCTCTCGTGAAATTGTAACAACACCAGAGGGTTGCAGCGAACCCCCTGATGGTCGCGGATACGTCAAAGTCACGTTTGCTCGCACTCCAGTCATGGCGACTTACATCGTCGCCATGGTACTGGGAGATTTCGAGCACATCTCTTCCACAGTCATACCTTACTCCACAAGCAACGCTTGTTCTTCCTCGGTATCCAAGACAGAGAAATGCACCAAAGTCCCAATGAGAGACTTGGAAATCCGAGTTTTTACACCGTTGGGGAAGCGAAAATTCGGAGAGCACGCATTAAATGTAGCCGAGAAATCACTGCCCTTTTACGCTGAGCTCTTTGGATCCCCCTATCCACTGCCAAAGCTGGATCTGGTCGCAATTCCGGACTTTGATTGCAATGCGATGGAAAATTGGGGCTTGGTGACCTACAGGTGAGTTTTCGGAAGTTTGATGCTATTCATCCATTTGATCGCAATCCCACCAATGAATCTGGCTAAGTAGATGAAATTTGGCCCCCATTTCTGCCTCCTTTTGATTATGATGTCCTATTCTGTCCGTTGTGTATGTTTGTTTACTGTAGTGACTTCTATAACCCGATAGTTTACTCAGAATTGTTTGTTGTTAAAGTGGTAACTTGGAGGAATGCTCCAAACATGGTGAAGTGTTTAATGAGTTTCTAGTTAGTGGTAGTGGTAGAATGCTAGCAACAGGCTCCTTAAAGATATTTGACGATAAACTGCCGGGTCACGCGAACTATGTAAGAGAAGAAGATTCATTTTGAGCATTCAGGGATTTGATAAACTACTTTCATCTCCCGATGGAGACTAGCTCCTTGCTGATGAGACCTTGTGATAAAGGAATTAGGGAATATGACACAGTTTACAGTACGTGAACACGATGTTCGATGGTAAGGATGCGCTGGACATGTTTCAAGTACCGGGTTTTAAATATGCCGAATTTCCTTCTCCTACGAAAGAACCATTATTGGGGTAATTATCAAGTCTTTTTTCAATCATCCACCAAGTTACTAGTAATGACAGTCAAGGTGGATGCTATCTCAGAACCACTACGATTTTTGACTCATGCAAGGAGAAGGGGGCACACCTTTTCATCGTGTCCACGAGACTAGAGACCTCAAAAATCGTCACGGTGTGGAAGCTTCACCCATAAAATCATGGTCACCGATGGAGTGTGCTCTGTTCTTGTCACCTTAGCCGTAGCTATGCGCGATGATTTGGGGGCTTCATACTTGCTCTCAAAGGCTATTGTCAAAGGTGCTCAGCGCTAAAGATCGGGTGGAGTTTTTCTTTTTTGCAGCAACATTGATAGTCAGGTTTTTAATTAATGTGGAGCTTATTTCTGTGGGAGTGAGGTTCTGTACCATCATCCTGAATTTTGAGCACCAGCAATCCTCCAGAGGCCCGTGCAAAACTGTCTTCACGCCACCTGCCTATTTGTTGTCTTACCGTTTGCCCATGTTTTCCAAAGCCTCCAAATCCCGGTACTCAAGACCTAATCGATGGAACTTCATCCTCCAGATTACTGAATTCAGAAGTTTTAATTGCATTTTAGGTGTGAAAGGTTTTTTCAAAGTAGAAGTAGCAGTGGTTCTTGCTAATTCTTGCTGACCCTCACTGGTTGGTGGATATTGTGGAAAAATCGACAGGAAGAAAGGCAGATAGAATGGGTTATGGAGAGATGGGAAGGGGGATAGTAGCCAATAAACAGAACTACATAGAAGCAGACAAATAAGGAAAGTCGAGCACGGACTGGAAGACTGACAGATGATTCAGTAGGCGCAGAGTACCGCATTTTAATTTCCGTGTGATTTTCTCTATGGTAACTCTCCACTGACCTTCAAAAGTTGGAAGCTGGGTCCAAATAGATGGACAGACATATATAGGTAGATGAATGGGAGTATGTGAATAGAGGAATGTATAAATGGGTAGTAGGATAGGTAGATAACCTACTGATAGGTAGTACATCAGCTCCAGACCAACTATTTGATGCAACAACATCAGGGTTGAATCCTTCCCCCGTTTCTCCACATAGAACTCCAGGTAGACAACAGGAAGTAACCGTTTTGGATTGAGAATGTCTGAAGGAGTTTGCTGAGTGGCGTATTTATCTATGGGGGGAAACCGACACCTGAGATAAGGAAATCAGTTCACTGCTCGAGTAGTGTATTTCTGGAGAAAAAAGTGGTATAGATGCAAAACATCAAACTGTTTTCACTCCTGTCATTAACATCAAAAAGTCAGCTTATGTTCGTAACCTACACAACATCCCTCCAAACAAGACCTGTTCCCCCAATAGCAGTTAATCGAGAGAAGACCTAGGCAGCGGTTGACATGAGCATAAAATCATATGGACCATCCACGTCATATTGTATGGGAAGGAAGCGAGACTAACCGAAACCAACACATAACTCATGATTTCATTTTACCATTTTTTTAACCTCAGTCCCCTTGGTAAAATCCTCACAGTTATCGCCTCGTGTCACACACATCCACCTCCTCATGAGTTCGCGTCGTCTCCGGCCAGTCACACACTTGACGCACCTCCCAATGCCCGACTTGATTACGGCCGTTATTCACACAGTGACAAAAAGTAGGTGAGCTATTGCACTACTAATAGTAGTCGGGGCGAACAGTTGTTGTGAGAAGATCGGTTCAGTCTCCCATATTCTGGTTGGGTGAAATCAAAGCCAAGTCAACAATAATGGCTAAAAAGCAGATTTGTGTAAGGAAGGACGAAAATTAACACGGATCTGAGACGTGGAATGAAATGCATTTCACCAAGACAAGAAGCGAAGACGGTTCTCTTGCCAACTACGTCGGCGTGAGTGCATTGTGTCTTGGTGAAATGCATTTTCTTCCATGTCAGGCCCGTGTAGGTGCGTGATGGAGAAGCGGAGACGGTTGTCCTCCCATCTACCTGATCATTTTCATTTATTTGAAATCTATACACTTCTCCTCTCTCCTTCCTCTTTTTACAATTCTTTTCACAATTTTTCCCCACTATGTGTATTCTTGTTTGCTTTTCCTTCTTTCATCTTTTTTCCCCCCTTCCATTCCCACACTTCTTTTTCCGCTCCCTTTTTTCCTGTTTTTTCTTCCATCCTTCCCTTTTGTTATATCCTTTTTTATTATTTTCTTTGTCGTTTTTCCTTTTTTTGACTCCTTTTTGTCCAGTCTTTTTATTTCCTTTTTCTCTACTCTCTTCATTCTTCTTAAATCTTCACTCCTTTTTCTTGAAACTAGTGTCTTTCCTTTTGTTTGGACTTTTTTCATTTATGTATTCTTGGCAGATACCTTGACGACATGTCGCTCAAATCTCTGCTTGATTTCCCTTTACTCATTTCATTTCCTTTACTGAGTGCCTAAATCTCTGCATAGCGATTAGTGTCCCTATTTTTAAAGTGTACTTTTTACTTAATTATTTGAGACCTTGCAACTCTCAAATTCATCCACGTCAGCTTAATACCCGCAAGGCAATGCAAAACTGTATGGACTAAATCACACTCTGAGTGGACTCTTAAGGTATTCTGCTTAGACAGCATAATCTGAGATTCAACACCCAGGTGTGAGAAGAGTCCTTAGCCTAGAGGGCTGCTGCCCACACAGTAACTCGTGTTGCACCGTTGACGATGGTCATAATAGCAAATATAAGAAAAAATTTTAATGTTTTTGGCCAAGTATGGATGTAATATCCGACAAGTTCCAGGGTGCGCGCTGGCACTGAATGAAGGCAATGCAAAACATTCATCATGGTAAATAAAAGCTAACCGCTGTCATATATCAGGCAGAGAATTATTATAACACACACAGCCAAACGCCCATAGAGAGGGAGACCTAGTGCAAATGTACGGCTGGATTACTCCACCTAGAATACACTGCAGGCTCTACCATCCGTGAAGCAAGATGCGTTCCGAGAGATAAAATCCACTTGTTAACTAGCTCCTGTTGGCAATACCCAACTTTGTACTCAATTAGTCACCATATATCACAAGATGTATCGGTGCAAAGGTACACAAAAATTTGTTTACGAGATTGAAGTTTATAGACCAACGGAAGGAGAGAGATCACTCAAACCATACCCATAAGATGGGGAACTTTGTAACCCATATTTGTTTGGATGTACTTCATAGGCAAGGAGAAGCTTTTACTGAGCAGGAGTCCCATAAAGTAAGGGTCGCCAGAAATCCACGAGGTAGATGGGGATCCCGAACGTGCGCATCCTGACTTTTGATCTTCAGCCTAGGTATTAACATTGAAGCTGGCTTTTCTTAGTCAGCCCGTTAATTCTAAGGGTTTGAAGGCCAAAAAGAAAGAGGTGACTTATAAAGTCTTTGCGTATGGTTTGCAATGATTTATTTGAATATTATGAAAATAAGTTTTTTGCAAAATGGTTAAAGAAAATTAAACAAAGGCACGCGAAAACAAAGATTCTGAGTCACCAATCTTCAGCTGAAGTTCAATGCACCGAATTGTTTTAATTTTTCGAGGACTAGTCGACTCGGCGACCCACGTCTTCAAAGATAGGTCCAGTTGTTTTTTTCGCTAGACTTACTCTGGTTGGTACATCCAAAATGACAGATGTTCGTGAAAAACATGTTCGACTACCTCGAACAATAGTCCCTATCAACTACAAGCTTGATCTTGTTCCTAACTTCACAAGTTTCACGTATGCCGGTCGTGTTTCTGTGGAGTTGCAGGTAGCTCTTCCCTTCTCCTTCACACTCTGTTTTCTAAGCGGCTTCTGTTTTAAATTATGATTTGCACTGCGATGCATAATTTAGGTTGTCCAAAATCTTACATCGAGAACCATTGAAATATCGTCTATAGGCGAGGTTTTTTGTGTTGTAGGTGGTCGAAGCAACCAAACAGATAATTTTCAATTCCAAAGGGCTTGAAATATCATTTGCGTCATACCAAGATAGTAAGTCAATCAGGCTTTTTAATGACACTAACCGAAACTTCTAGCTCAAGCTACGATTGCGTACGATGAAGAGCAGGAAATAGTTATATTTGTGTTTCCCACCTGCCTTCAGGTTGGTTGCGTAGCGATTTAGTTTAAGCACTTTGCCTTATTTAGCCCACAAGAGGACGCTTGAACTTGGAATTTAGGGGAAAATTTGCCACCGACATGTTAGGGCTATATTATAGCTCCTACATCGAGAAGAGTGGCAAGAAGTGCAACATTCTTGCCACTCAATTTGAGGTAAGTTCTGTGTTTCTTAAAAGTTGTTCCTGTGAGCAACCCCTATAATAGATGTCGGTGTTTTCTTTAGTCGGTTTTCGCCCGTCGAGCGTTTCCGTGCATGGATGAGCCGGATCGTAAAGCAACTTTTGACATCAGCATCGTTGCTCTTGACAACCAAGTTGCCCTCTCAAACATGGTAAGTTATTTGTGCTTCTTTTACGGAATTAGTCCGTGAGAACTTTTGGCTGATAGTTGAGGGAAAATATTAAAAAAGGTCTCGTTTTCGTTATAACGCGTCTTTTTAAGCTCCATTACGAGGCCAAAGTTGTATTTGAAAAGGATCCGTGTCAAAACATCGTGCAAATTATGCGTAAGCTTACACATTTATGGTTCCTAAATTGGTTATTCTGTGCGTGGGTCATCACGAGCTTGTCACGTAAATGACAGCTGTCCATTTTAAATGCGGGAAAATATTCATTGCCTGAAACTCACACTTCACTGTAATGTTAGGTCCTAACTCGTTCATTTCTAATTTCTTCCAGTTCCGTATAGAATCAAGTAGTGGGAACTTTTCCTGAATGTAGCTGTTCAAAGCTATCCTGTAAGAGGGCTCTAAAAGCTTCGAGCTTTGTTAGTTTTCGACATCTATGTATAATTTAAGAATTGGAGGAAAGAGCTGATATCATGAGATCCAAGCCCTGAAGTACCTAACCAGTGTGGATGACGTGACGCAGCAGATTAAAATGCTGGCTACGTCTTATTTCAAGTGTCGTCTTCAAGCCTTCCAGTTGGTGTTACATCTCTACAGCGACAGACATTGGACGCTTCAATGCCATCAGCGCCCCTGACAGCTAGAAGAATAGTGGTGCGATGCGATGATAAATTCTCATTATTAGGAAAAATGGTATATTTCATTTAGTAGACGCGATTGTACGCCTTCCATGCGAATTCCAGCATTTCTTCTAACGCACTTCGTTTCTGAAAGACGAGCTACTTCAATAAAATAGGGTTTTATCTAGGATCCGCAGAGCTAAGGATGGAATGACGTATTATCGTGTGCATCATGCATGGCACTCACATTTTCGTTTCATTAGTTCTTGTAATGAGATAATGTAAAGAGGATGAGAACTTGGGAGTCTAATCACTTCGCATAGTGGCTGATCTGAATGTTGCCTGTTATCTTGAGCATAACGATAATGGTCGTTTCAGCTTCATGCTGCTCTTATTCCCTTTTCAGATATAGTGTCCAATTGACCCGTCGGTTGCCAGAAGAGTTATTGAGAAAACGACTCTTATTAGCCCTTTATTTGCTTTTAGCATGTGCTAAGGGAATGAAATAGTTTGCATAGCAGGCTAGTAGGGGCTGCAGAGCTGCGCAGATGAATACATACTGGGGCCGTTTGCACTTTGTTTTTTTCTGATTTTCTGCAGCCTGAAGTCTCTCGTGAAATTGTAACAACACCAGAGGGTTGCAGCGAACCCCCTGATGGTCGCGGATACGTCAAAGTCACGTTTGCTCGCACTCCAGTCATGGCGACTTACATCGTCGCCATGGTACTGGGAGATTTCGAGCACATCTCTTCCACAGTCATACCTTACTCCACAAGCAACGCTTGTTCTTCCTCGGTATCCAAGACAGAGAAATGCACCAAAGTCCCAATGAGAGACTTGGAAATCCGAGTTTTTACACCGTTGGGGAAGCGAAAATTCGGAGAGCACGCATTAAATGTAGCCGAGAAATCACTGCCCTTTTACGCTGAGCTCTTTGGATCCCCCTATCCACTGCCAAAGCTGGATCTGGTCGCAATTCCGGACTTTGATTGCAATGCGATGGAAAATTGGGGCTTGGTGACCTACAGGTGAGTTTTCGGAAGTTTGATGCTATTCATCCATTTGATCGCAATCCCACCAATGAATCTGGCTAAGTAGATGAAATTTGGCCCCCATTTCTGCCTCCTTTTGATTATGATGTCCTATTCTGTCCGTTGTGTATGTTTGTTTACTGTAGTGACTTCTATAACCCGATAGTTTACTCAGAATTGTTTGTTGTTAAAGTGGTAACTTGGAGGAATGCTCCAAACATGGTGAAGTGTTTAATGAGTTTCTAGTTAGTGGTAGTGGTAGAATGCTAGCAACAGGCTCCTTAAAGATATTTGACGATAAACTGCCGGGTCACGCGAACTATGTAAGAGAAGAAGATTCATTTTGAGCATTCAGGGATTTGATAAACTACTTTCATCTCCCGATGGAGACTAGCTCCTTGCTGATGAGACCTTGTGATAAAGGAATTAGGGAATATGACACAGTTTACAGTACGTGAACACGATGTTCGATGGTAAGGATGCGCTGGACATGTTTCAAGTACCGGGTTTTAAATATGCCGAATTTCCTTCTCCTACGAAAGAACCATTATTGGGGTAATTATCAAGTCTTTTTTCAATCATCCACCAAGTTACTAGTAATGACAGTCAAGGTGGATGCTATCTCAGAACCACTACGATTTTTGACTCATGCAAGGAGAAGGGGGCACACCTTTTCATCGTGTCCACGAGACTAGAGACCTCAAAAATCGTCACGGTGTGGAAGCTTCACCCATAAAATCATGGTCACCGATGGAGTGTGCTCTGTTCTTGTCACCTTAGCCGTAGCTATGCGCGATGATTTGGGGGCTTCATACTTGCTCTCAAAGGCTATTGTCAAAGGTGCTCAGCGCTAAAGATCGGGTGGAGTTTTTCTTTTTTGCAGCAACATTGATAGTCAGGTTTTTAATTAATGTGGAGCTTATTTCTGTGGGAGTGAGGTTCTGTACCATCATCCTGAATTTTGAGCACCAGCAATCCTCCAGAGGCCCGTGCAAAACTGTCTTCACGCCACCTGCCTATTTGTTGTCTTACCGTTTGCCCATGTTTTCCAGAGAGACGGCGCTGTTGATCGATCCAGAAAACTCTTCTTTGTTGTCAAAACAGCAGGTTGCGCTAACAGTGGCACACGAGGTGTCGCACATGTGGTTTGGCAACCTTGTAACGATGTCGTGGTGGACGGATCTGTGGCTTAATGAGGGCTTTGCAACGTGGGCCAAATGTCTTGCGGTGGATCATTGCTTTCCCGACTACGATATTTGGGTGAGTCGTTGTAGTCAAACTAAGCATACGGTCATTTTAAAATAACTTTTGACACTTAGCGACGGATTCTCTCTTTTTACTTCAAGTAAAAGTGTTTTTTAGATTATTTGCATGAAGTGCGAGGTCCAGCTTGCGGTACCTTAAAGCCTGCCTTCCATCAGCTGTATTCTTCATTTAGTTATCTGCATTTAGGTCTTCCTTCAGGGTTGGATCATTGGGAAGTTATAAATACTTACAGCTATTTTCTCGGAAGAAAATCGAGTGCTATGGTCTACGTGTTTGGCTGTTCATGTTTTTTGTGTCAGATTAGGGGGTTTACCACCAGGCCTTTGGGTAAGAAACTACTGCCTCAACCCAGGTGTTTGCATGTCCTGATGGTGTGTTTTCGTCTTCGCACTAAGGCCATCCGACATCTGTGTTGTCTAAAACCCAGTCAATCGAGTTGACAAAGATTATGAGCAATTGGCTATGCGAAACTGATGCTGTTGTGTCAAAGTCTTATAATCCTGGCGATTATTCCAGGTTCCTGAATAGGTTTATGACTAATAGATAGACTGGTAGAAGTTGGAGCATTGCGGTTACTATCAGCACTTTCTTTGATTATGGTTGATTTTTGTGCGATCCCGTTGCACAAAATTGTCATCAAGACTCGGAATATAGCTCGACTTTTCACTTTTAGCTTTCTGTCAATTATTTGCTTCAGCTGAGATTGCAAACTAATTTAAGAACTCCTTTTCTGGTCGTCATAGTTGCAGCTAGCTAGATGTCCAGTATGTCAGTATGGTCACTTTCAAACGTTTTCTTCCACTGACAGACTTAAAGATGTCTTATTTTGCCTCCACATCGAGCACACTTCGGGAGGGATGCACTTGTCCTCCCGACACCCACACCAATCATCTACACTTACTGCTCAAGAGACAAGAGACAGGCCATTGCTTCGATGTTTCGTGAACAGCTCGCATTCTTTCACTAGAGGTGGGCCCCAATTATTCCTTGGCGGCTTAATTATTACCGCGTTGATAGTTGACTTGACAGGTAAATGCAGCTGCAAGTCTCACCCTCAGACGGTCAAATATCATACCTTCCTCCAGCTATGCCCTGCTCAACACTTACTGGTTATATTGTCTGCTCTTCACTAAAGCTGCTCCATGGCTCTCTCTCTCTCGACTTTGAACCCTTTCCAAATTGTTTATCTCCATTGTTTTTAGACCCACTTCGTGTCGTCAGAGTACATCAAGGCTCTGCGATCGGACGAGCTGAAAAGCAGTCATCCCATCGAGGTTTGCAAAGCATTTCATTATTTATCAAGTTTTTTTTCGCTACTTCTCCGTTCACCTTCTTCTGTCCACTTAAATCTACATAAACAGTAGAGAACAGCCCCACCTCTTTTTCTTTCTTGTCCAGGTCGAAGTGAATAGTGCCCAAGAGGTGGAAGAGATCTTCGACGCGGTCTCTTACCAAAAAGGCAGCTGTGTCATTCGAATGCTCCATGATTACATGGGTCCCTGTGTAAGTGTCCCAGATTATCCGTCCTTTCTCTGTTATCTCACCCTGCCCTTAGTGCTTTTCCCCTTTTTACTAGTCACTTTTGCTGCCTATAATTGCTCCTACCATGCACCTTTATTCCCTTAGGTGTAATCTGTGGTTTCTTCAGACCCCAAGTTTACAAGCCGTAAGGTGGATAGTTCACATTTGAACTTCTTTTGCAATCATTGCGTTCCTTTCTCTCTACCATATTGCTTTCCGGCTTTTTACTTCATCTTCTAAGTCTTCGGATGCCTCAGAACAATCCAATGCTGGTAAAATATTTGTTTCCACTAGGAAACCGAGTATTGGAAGCCCAAATTTTGCCTGTGTTTGTGAACTCATGCAGACCTTTCTCACCTTAGTTGAGTTACAACTTAGTTGTTCTTTCCTTGTCACCTTCACTTATGACTCATACTTTCCTGCTCGCCTTCAGCTTTACCGATTTCGCCATATTATTTTCCAATTTATGATTTCATCCACCACTTTCTGCTCATTTATGACTATGATATGATAATACGTCCGACGGTTAGTTAAATGGCAATTGTTTGATTGTTTAAGTATTTCAGGTTTGGCGTTAATATTACTCCTTAGTTTGATTTCTGTAAAAATCGGTTTGATTTGTTTTGTCTTCCTGTGAAACAAAAGTCACTGCTGCTGCACAGGGTCTGTTCACGTAGACTCTCCATGTGGCAAATTACATAATGTTTGCGTCTAATGACTTTTGCAGTTCTTTCAAGCGGGCTTGAAGGCCTACTTCAAGAAGTTTGAATATTCCAACGCTAAAACGGCTGATTTGTGGACTGCCTTGGAGACCACTGGCGTTTGTAATGTGACTGAAATCATGTCCCTGTGGACAAAACAAACAGGCTATCCCGTGGTCTCTGTACGTCTCATTCATGAGCCGGATGGAAGATACAGCATTGGGCTGAAACAGCAACGATTTCTGGCTGATGGCAGCTCCATGAAGGGTGAGTCCGTTTTGGCGTTTGTTTCAGATTCGGAATGTCGTAATCCACTATCCTTTTATATTTGCTAATGTCCACCGTAGCTAAAATAAAGATTATGATGTTAAAGACCCTCAAAGAAGGCCGTGAATACTCTACTTGGTACTTAACCATATCTCGCCACTCTACTCCGCTGTTAGCTTAAAGCTGCCGATCCTGCATCTCTAATTGAATTAAAAAACGAAGGAGTTGCTATGATTCCGGTTCTTTGCAAAGAGTCGGTTGAGAGAGTTTTCAGCCGTACACTCTTGCATTGCAATGAACCGCCTAGTGTAGATTTGTAACATTAGACAAAGTAAATGAGGGCGTAAAAATTTTGCTCATCGTCTTTTATATGTCTAGGCGAACCACCAAGTTACTGGCGCATCCCAATTAATGTCTGTGCTGTGGATGACTCCAGTAAGCTTCTTCTTCGCAAGGTCATTGGTATTGCGTCTTCTACCCCATCTCCCTCGTCCTCCTACTCCCCCTCATCGAAAACCGCTGATTGGGGAGACAAAGCCAACTGCACGGCTAAGAGTGAAGCTGAATCCCAGGAAATCATCTACCCCTTGCCTGATTCTGTTTGCTCACCCCGAGTTCGTCTTAAACCAGATGCCATCGGTTTCTACCGCGTACATTACGACTCTACCATGATGGACGCCATTCTAGAAGCTATCAGTCGCGGTACAGTGCCGGAACGTGACCGTATTAGCCTGTTAGACGATCAGTTTGCCCTGGCCCGGGCGGGTTTTCAAGACCTGGACAGGGTGCTTCAGTTCTGTCGTGCATTCGTTGGTGAGACGCGATACAGTGTGTGGTCAGTACTGTCAGAGGGATTGGCACAGGTTCGAACTCTCCTTGAGGAGGCGTCCTACCCGGCGGGAGATGATGTGATTTTCCCAGAGGCGTCAAAAGGGATTTGTGGGCTTAACAAACTGTACATTGAGTTGGCGTTGCCAGTGTATGAGAAGATCGGTGAGTTCGTTTGTGTATATTCTAATATTGGGTTGATTTTTTAGCCGTATTGAGATGCGATGACAAAATAATGAATGAGATTAATTTAGGATAGTTGGATGATCAGACTTGTAGATGAATAGGTCTTTCTTGAAACACTATATAAAACCTAAAAAGACAAGATTCTGGGTTGCTCAGCATCCAACTGTTTCTCTTCCCCTTATTCATGCAAAATGGTGGGTAAATAGGATGTGAGATGAGTAGTTGGTTGAGATGTATCAATAAATACAAGACGGTAAATTAACTATATCAAGGTTTGAAATATTAAGTCAGTAGGTCACGAAGGAATAGGCAGGTGTGAAGATGATAACTTGAGAAGTGGACATAGATGATGGAGTTAATGACTGGGTTAGTAGATGGACGTATCCATCAAGAGAATGGAATGTTTCAAGTGAATGCGTTGATGGAAGACGTATAGATGAATCAAAGATGATTGGATGGATGGACTCAGAATTTGGTTGTACGGCTACTATTCTATCCTCCAAACCATCCTCTTCTCTGCCTTCTTTCGTCAGGTTTTGAACCCACCTCCGTAGATTCTAACAACGA